ATTTTAATAATATTATTATATTATATATCATAATTATATAATATAATATATTATAATAATTATATTATATTAATTATATTGATATATAAAATATTAATGTTATATATAATATAAGGATAATTTTGTTAATATGAAAATATTCACGTTCTATTCTATAGTATTCTTAAAATTACAATCAAATAAACGAATCAATTTTCTTTTTCATTCCATTACTATTCTCATTCCTATAACTATATTACTATTATTCTGCTGCAACTAAACGCACCCTAACAGCGTTACAAGTTAGCAATAGAAATCCACTTATTGATCACATGTTGAACATGTCAGGTCTGTTTTGTTGATTTCCGTAAACCTAAAGTTTATATTTGTATCGCTCAAATATACAATTTATTGTACCGTTTTAATCGCATTTAGATCAAAGAAATTTAGAATGGTACTTTTTTTTTTTTTTTGAAGTAGATTAGTTATGTACTTTGTTAGTCATAAAAAATTTGTAACATATAATAACTATACTCCTCCATCCATAAGATTGGTATGAAAAGTTGGATTGCAAACCCAAACAACAACAGTTTCCATTTAATTAAGATTGATATCTTATCTTATCTTATTCATTACAAGAGCGAAATCAGTAGCCCTTGTGGTACATATACTACTTACAGATCATAATATAACAAACACATACAAAAAAGCAAAAAGAAGCAAAGCTCAGATATGAAATAAAAGTCCACTCTGAGAGATCACGCATGTGTACACATATTGAGATGTTCAATTTAAATTTTTCATCAAGTTTCACCTTGGTATCCCAATCCCTCTCTCCCAAATTTGAAAGCACATAATCGACGATCATCACAGTTAAGCAAAACCGAAAAAAAGCGTTGCTTCCCGGCAGGCGACCGATCGAACCGAGGCCAATCAAAATATGAAAGAATAACAAATGCATCCCAATTCTCTCTCTGTCTGCTGATCAACTTCATTGAAGCCTTTCCTCACTCAACCAGCAATATTGACGACCCAGAAAGGGCCGAAAGCTGCATGTCCAAATAAATAACAGTTAGCACAATTCATGTCATTATTCAGATTAATGTTGCTGATATTAAAAAAATCACGTAAATTATAAAATAGAAATAACGAGTAAACTTACTTCTTAAGCCGATCTGAAGAGCACTTCGGTCGCTTTGGGTACTGTTGCCAAGTTAACATTGTTTCCAGGGTCTGTGAAAAGAAAAAAAAAAAAAAAAGATTCAACTTAAGTTGTTATTTTGTATAAAACCAAAACAATTAATGTTTATTTTTTGTTTCTAAATTAAGTACTTACGAAGTGGGGTTTTGGATACGAAAAAGCAGGCCCCAATGACAATGTAGCATAGCAAAAGAACCAATCCCTTCATGTAGTGAGAAGTTCCATCCTATAAAGTGTACATATATTAATTAAATTTAGAGACTACCATAAAATATATTGCATGTAAGTGTACGGCACAAATTAAAATTAAAAATAAAAAATAAAAAAACACAACTGTGAGAGGTGTTTAATCTTCTTATCTCTCTAATTGCAATCTTAAGTACCTGAAGAGTGAAAGCAGTGGCGATTATGGCCAAAGCAAGAGAGCTGGTTTCGAGGAGATTGAAGTTGAGATCCATGTTGTTTCCCATTATCCAGGAAACAACCACGCACAATGGAACCTGATCATTTATAATTAAAAGGATGGAATTAGTTAATTAATTGAATATGCTTATGTTTGTTAAAAATGTAGATTAATACTAATTCAATCACTAAATGGATCATAATTCTTACCACAAACATGGCAATTTGACTTGCAGAACCCAAAGCAACGCCTAATGTAATGTCCTGCATTTTTATAGGTGAAGGAAAAAAAAAATAAGAAAAACACCTTCTTGAAATGTTTGTAATTGCTATATAATGTATGTTTTTTTTTTATTTTTAAAAATAAATAAAAAAGGCATGCGCAATATTACATGACAAATGATCATTACATTTTTAAACGTAACATTCCATTAATACTATTTTTTTTTTTTTTTTTTTGCTTTTTACAAGAACCAGTATTACTGTTAATATGTCTATTTATAGACCAGCTTTTTATTGAATGTGGTGTTGAAAACTATGGTATCTTTAACATTATTTTATATGTCGTATTATTAGTACTACCTAGTAAGTACTATTATGCTTTCTAGGATGCTATTTACTCACCAACTTATTCTTGAAAGCAAATATGATTGCTCCAGCGTGTTCAGCTGCGTTTCCAACAATCGGCAGCAAGATTATGCTTAGGAAGCTAATTGACAACCCCCAGGAATCAGAGGCATCCTAAGAAAATCAAGTAGATAAATAAAACATGTTAGTAGAAAAAAAAAATGTAAATTTGATGATCATGTATAATATAAGTATATAATTGGTATAAAAAAAGGGGCTTAGTTTACCTCAATTGTTTCCACAACATACTCGGACAACAAGGCTATGACAAGGGTCATTCCAACAAGCCAGGCAAATCCACTCCAAAATCCAATCACAGCTTCTTCTGATCCATCACCGCCTTCTCCTGAATCCTGTTTAGTTGCACATATGGTACATTAGCTAATTTTGCATTCGTGTCATATAATGAATTACATATATATATATATATATACACACACACATATATAAATATATATTTGTTTCATTTTTAATTGAAGTCATGAAAAATATTGCACTTATTAATTGATAATTTGCCTATATTTTTTTTTTTAGGGAAATAAGTACTAGATTATATTAATGGGACAAATCTGTCAATACAAGAGACATATAAATCTGAGAATAATATCTGATATTCCAGACGCGCAGAATTAGGAGAAAGCATAGAATTCCCAAATTGATAATTTATCCAATACCGTAGCCACTCAAGACTACCAAGTGAACAAAGAGCTTCCTTGGTGTGGCAAATGGTAACAGATACGCCAATGTGCTAGCACTTTCACGTCATAAATAAGATCAACATTTAATGTGAAGTATATCGCTTATTGTACCAGAATTTTCGACTAGTAAATGCTATTGATCAAAATGTTGACTTTTAACCAATCAAACAGTGCTACGTAGAACGGTCTATAACCATGCAATTAATTGGGTTAAAGCATGATACAACATTTTATGGACCACATATATACTACCTTGAGTACGTGTACAATAGTGTAAAATTGGACCACATACATAGTAGGCGAAATCATAAGAAACTCCAAACCACAACAAAAAATATCAAAGAAATTCTATTATTCAGCAATGTGCCCTAGATTGGGATGTATAATCTGTTGCCTACGATATCAGTTATTTTCTCTGATCATTAAAAAAACAGCCCTTTAATTAATTAATTAATTTTTTTTGATTAGATTTATGATGGACTCGAACAGTAAAACTCAAAGTAAGAATTGTAAAAAAAAAAAAAAAAAAAAAAAAAATTACTTACCTCTTCTGCTTCAAATAACTGGCGATGTGTCCACAATTGGAATACAAGGTACGCAGCATAGGCAAGCAACATGACAATGCTGCTGGCTCGTGAAAGTTGAAGCGTCGCATCCACCGTCGACACACCGGAAGAGGCCCCTGCGTAGCAGAATAGCATCGGCAGCAAGTGGCACAACAGCGCCAACAATAGAAGCAGCGAATTTACGTCAGCTTGTCTCTGTGAAGTAATCAAAATCCACCGCAAATTAATTAACATAAATATGAAGGTTGAAAATATTAATCACCAATATTGAAAATAACATGATTTTACATTGCTCAATGGTATAACTGATTAAAGAGTAAATTTTTTCATTGGATTCTGTTGATGTGATGTATAAGTATTTTAATGCATTACACTATTAAATAGCAAATATGGACAAAAAAAAAAACCTAAAAAAAAAAAAAAGACACTAGTGCAACTTACTCTGTCATATTTTTGTTCCCTTCCGAGGTTGGCAATGCCACCACAGAGTAGAGAGGTGCCCAGGACCAGAAGTAGGTTTGAGAGTATAGAACCCAAGAGAGAGTACTTCACCACGTCTATTTTGCCCTCTGAAAGAGCAAATATTGCTATTATCAGCTCCGTCGCATTGCCACATGTCGCATTTAGAAGCCCTCCCACTGCACAAAAACGACATATATAAATTACATTTATAATAATTATATTACAGATTCAGATCATGCAGTTCTATTTCCTGAATTAGCAAAATTATTAATAAGTTAAAAAAAAACGTGAAATATAGAATAATTAAGTTGCTCGAAGGTGTTCTGTCAGTTTTTTGTTTTTTTGTTTTTGTTTTTTTTTCCAATCACTAAGGACTTATTTGGACATCCACATCAATTATTCATGTCACTCTTTGTTCATTTCGTACTCTTGGATTTATTCGCCTTCTAGTAATTTGGAACTATGTTGAAATATCATACAAAGCTAGCATTTTCTTAATACGTGAATTTCATTTCATATTACTACATACATAATATATATATATATATATATATATATGTTATCACTAGGAAATGTCTAGAAATGACACTATACTTGATTAATCATGAGGCTAGCTATATATGATCAAGAGAATTATTATTCAATTCATTCCATGTTATTTATAACGGGGGAAAATCAGTCTATTTAGAATGAAGTATATAATCTTGATTTTCTTGGATGATAGATATTTTCCTTAAAGAACTTATTTGGGATATTTGACCAAGTAAATTCAGAAATTAAATAATACAGAAACTTGTAAAAATCGTTACCCGTGGGTCCGGTGTAGTAAGCAATTTGCCTGAAATTTTCGGGACAAAAAGGAAGAAAAAGAAGAAAAACTGAGTTAGGTTTGGGTTGATAAAGAGAATCCTTATTAAATATTTTAAAAAAGGAAAAAAAATAAATCGATAATGTCAATGCAATTATTTAAAGCGAAAGAGAAACGTTTGGCAGCTTACTCAGTGAGGAAGCTGACACGTTCAGCTAGAGGAGTAAGTCCAAGCATACTCAGAGCGAAAACCCAAGGCTGTTTTTTATCACCATGAAACGGAAACCATTAATATTACATTCATAATAGGATAAGACACTAAGAAAGACAAAAAGGAAAAAAAATAAAAAGATAAAAAAAAAAAACTATCCACAGAATTAATGAACGCTGTTCTTCATCCATATTTCTCAATGGACCCGATACCTTCTTAGGAATACGTACGTGTTTCTTCTTTTATTTTGTTATTATTAAAAATAATATGTGGTCGTTACAATTTACAATATGACAATGTAAAAGACGATAAATTAAGGAAATAAGAAGAGATAATGGATCATGGAAAGTTATAACATACCTTCTTAGGAATATGCTCTTGATGAAAATATAATCATAATGCAAGATTAATGGTGAAATCAAGAAATTAAATTGGTACACCTGATTAATCTCCTGCCTTTTATTTTTCTAATTAATTCAAATTCTCAAGATCGTTTAGTAATAAAATGTTTCTTGGAAATTCCAAAACACCAAGATCAAACCTCAATTTACAAACTGAGATTGAAAAAGAGTTTCACGGGGATTTAAGAAAAATGATCACCTCAAACCAATGATTGAAATTAAAGATCTTTGAGGCATATTAAATTTGAAATTAAGCAAAACGGTAAGCAAGTCAACCCAACAATCACTTTCTATTTTTTCAAACATACTAATCAAATCAAATTCACTGTTCCATCGAAAAAATGCCAATTTTAATAATTAACCAAATCATGAATATATCTAGTATTTTAGTGTTAGTACTCACTCTTCCAAAGCCATAACACTCAGCAGCAATGGCCAGAGGGATGGCTGGAAAAAGAATGGAAAGTTTGGTCCCTAAAATGACCTCTTGAAGGTTAGCCAAGATCTTCCTTAGGAGGCCACAAGGGACCTTGGAGACGAGCTTGAGGTCGGACTTCTTTCGTAGAGACGACGACGACATGTTGTGGGCCGTCCTGCCGTGTCGCATCTCCTTGCTCAGCCCCTTTGGGTTGCCGTTTTCTAAAAGCCATGGTTGATCTAGGTTTGAAGCCATTATTGACAAAAAAAGAAAATCCCACACACACAAAAAGAAAAACTACAACAGTAGAAGAGAAAAGAAGTAGTATTGGATTCTAGTGGATAAGGCTTTGTATATTATTATTTCTCAAGAGGGTGTGAGAAGTAGTGAGAATGTACCGTGTTATATAGGAGGCTGATCAATGAGGGTATGTATGCAGAGCATCAGCAATGCAGGAATCTTCCTCGAAGTTTCTTTTTTCTCTTTTTTTTGGGGGCGGGGATAAAAAAAAAGTGATATATATATATAGTTTAAAAAATAAAAGGAAAAAAAAGGAGAAAAAAGGAGAAAATCTACTTTGGCAGTTACAAAACAGGAAGGTTTATCATAATAACCTCTCTATATAATCTAGTGGTGAAGATAGGATTGAGATTCTGTTAACTAAATTTGACACAATTTTACAAGATTTTATCTTTAATTAAGAGAATTATGTACAGGTTTTTCTAATTAAATAGTAGCTATATAGCGGTCGACCGCGCTTAAAATAGTATACAAAATTACAAATTGATTACAACGAAGTCTGAATCAGGAAACAGTCTATATATTTCTAGGGTGATGAAAAAATGGAGAATTTATAAGCATAGAAGAAAGAAGAAGAGAAAGAAGCAGAAGGAACCCGTATATTATATATAAGATCTTTGGTTCAAACAAAACTCGTAAGCTACAACCTCATAGATATAATTCGAGTCTAATAATTAAAACACTCATGATCATATGTATTTAAGCACTGATCTTGTAATTCACCAAAAAAGAAAAAAAAAATGCACTGATGATCTTGTAAGTACTCACCTCTTCTTTCACAGGCAATTTCTCCTCGAAATTATCGGAATCTCCTTTGAACTCTAATTTCTTCTGTAACTCAGAAAGCTATAAATGAAAAGTTATATAAGTACCAAAAAAATCTTTAAACCGGAATAAAGATCAGTGTGATTATTGTGCATGTGTGCGCGATAAGAACGTAGTGCAAAAAGGGAAACAAAAGAAAAGAGAAATTAATTAAGCAATAAACAGAGCACAGATTCGATTATAAGTTTCTACTCACAGGAACTTCGCCGGTATCGTGATCAAAAGGAATATTGAGGTTGAGATCAAGAGACGTTTTAACCCATTTTGAGTCCATTGTTCACGAAGTTGTACACCACTCAAAGAAATTAACCCCAGAAAAACCTATTATACATTATATCACCAATGGAGAGTTTAAACATTTGTCTTCTACCACTGAAAGGAAACCCAGAAAGGAGTGTGCTATTTATAAAAAGGTCATATGAGAGAGAGAGAGAGAGAGAGAGAGAGAGAGATATCTAGAGAGACAAAAGCTGATTTCTGTAGGAAAGCTTCAGGAAATAGAGTCGAAAAGTCGTTCAAACACATATCCACGTCATCTTGAAATCGTCACTTCTCATTAATTTTACTATTATTATTATTATTATTATTACTATTATTATTATTATTATTATTATTATTATTATTATTATTATTATTATTATTATTATTACTATTATTATTACTATTGAATCCTTAGGGAATGATTGGGCAACGGTAACCATATTAGTGCGGTTGGACTTTGGAGGGCAGTGGTTATGTGACTCGGGAAGATTGTAGATTAAATATATGCTTATAATTATTATATCGGGATTAGATTATATGCTCATTGTGAATTATTTAATATGGTAACAGTTCGGGATAATTTGTTTCTTAATTTATTTTTCTAAGCAAATCAATAATATGGGTGTCCGATATACAGATTAGATTATACGCTCATTGTGAATTATTTAATATGTCAACAGTTTGGGATAATTTGTTTCTTTATTTATTTTTCTAAACAAATCAATAATATAGGTGTCCATACGACAAATATTCATCAAACTATAATGATTCACCAACCGTATATACCTTTCGGATATTAATCTTACATTGGTGTGTATATAAATTGCCGACATATATATATATATATATATATATATATTCCTCTTTTAAAAACAGTGAATATCTTTCCCATATTTTAAGGACAGGCAGACAGACGTACAATTTTGAAGGGTTATTTTACGGACACAGTTTTTAATTTTTAATTTTTAATTTTAGGGAGGAGAAAAACAAATTAACCTGTTAATTTGAGTTTTAAAATTAAATTCTCACGTTGGAATAACAATTCTTTCCAAATCGAGTTCAGGTGAAATCTAAAATTCAAAATGGTGTTAAACTTTTTAGGGATTTTCTTTAAGTGACGATTTCTAAAGAAAACATGGTAGTCCTTTCAAGTAAATTTGGAAAAAAACTAAAAAATAAAAATAAAAGAAAAAAGAAAAAAGATAACGCAGTAGAGAAAAAACAAGGGGTGAGACTCCTAGTTCCACCCTTGTCCATCACACAAATCTCTGCTCGCTGGCTCTTCGCATCAAATGTCGACGAGCGCCCCTCCCCCGACAAGATTCCGGTGTTCCAATGCCCACTCTCCCACAATATTTGTTCATAATCATCACCATGTTTTTCTCCCATTTTCCCAAACACATTACATCGGAGAGAATAAAAACTACAAACAAGGATATGGTAAAGCGTCCACATTCATTCCATTTCCGGTTAATCCTCACAAATAGTCCCTTAGTCCCTTAGCAATCCCACTTTAGTTCTTAATTTTAAAACGTTTCAAACTTGATCATTATAATCTATCAGTATGTTTCAATCTTAGTCATTTTCATCTATTGGAAAAAGAGAACAAAATTTAAATGGTATTCAATTAGTAAATTTTATATTTTTTTTGTCAGAATCACGTGTATATTCCGTGTCATATCAAAATGTCATTTAAATGGTATTAGTTTTGTTACATTTGGGATGTTTTAAAAGTTAGAGGATAAAATTCACGGATCCCTTCTATTTAATACTACTGTCCGTTTTTTGATTTTTTTTTTTTAAATCTTTAGTTGATTTGGTTGAATTAAAATGATAATCAATGCCTCTAAGAGATATCAGACCATTGTGCAAATCACGCATCTAAAGCCGTTCAATATTCAACAGACATTATTAAAAAGACCACCTATGCAACAGCTTTTTGAAGCGTCAAACCCAACGAACCATGCAATAGAGACTGCATGAGTAAACGTTGCGTTCCATTTAAACTTAAATGAGAATTTTAATTGTTTATTTTCCACTGCTTAGTGTAAAATGTAATAAGTTAACCTAAATACATGTGATTTCTAAACATACACGCAATTTCCTTTATATATAGATAAAAAGACATGTACAAAATAAGCTAGCTAGAGAATGAAATTAGCAAGTAAGAAAGAAGTAGCAAGTTTCACCTCTTAATTAATATCTTGTGATCATCACAAGTTTCTAATCAATAGTTTCATTATTGTTTAATTTCTATCTTTTTTTAATGGAATATTTATCCTATATTTTGAGGTTATCAAAGCTCATACTTAGTTTATATTCTAATATATATTACATTTGTACCTTCATACTTTAAATTTATGTTAGATTATTATTTTTTTCAGTCAAAGATTGTTTGGACTATGAAAAAGACCTAAATACCCTTAACGTTTTTTTTTTTTTTTTTTAAATTTTCTTCTTTTTTTCTTTCTTTAGAGGTATTTAGGTCTTCTTCTAATCAAGATTTACCGTGGCGGAAGAAAGATAAATTAAGACTAAATTCGAAATCTGAAGTAATGATATGGTGTATATATAGTTTTTAGATAATCTCAAAATATAGGGCATATAGTACAGAGCATGAAATAAAGAAGATAAAAAACCACTATCGGCACGACAGCAATAGTTTCTCATAAGTAGTATTATTTTTCTTTATGGCCAAAAGGATAATGGATGAGTCTGACTACAGTTTTTACCTAGGAAATTAATATTTATTTATAATCTTATAAACATTTCTAATAAAATACCACAAAAAAGAAAAGATAATAATATCGATTAGGTTGGTCCATAAAATGTGTACTTTTTTTTTTCATTAATCTATCAATTTATCATTACATGTATATTGCAGAATAGTACAATTATAAGCTGTATATATATATATATATGTTTATCAAAAAAGTAAAAAAAATAATAAATAAAAAGCTGTAAAGAAAGCAAATATATATGTGATATTTTAATACCTTCAAAAATAAAAATAAACCCAATAGAAAGGAGAAGTTCAATGATATTCTTGGTTTTAACCGCTTGACATTAATCATGAAAGCAACATAATTTTTGGTTTTGCTGAAACAAAAACAACATACAGTTTATTATTATTATTATTATTTTTTTTTTAAACTTGGGAGGAGAGATTCAAACTCAATAGTAGAATCAGCTGCGAAATTACCACTAGACTATACCCACAAGGAAAGCGTTTTTTTTTTTCTCCTTGTTTTTTAGTAGCAATTATTGTTATCATCAATATGCAGTCTCTAGAAGTTGCGCGAGTAACTTTGCAAGTACCAAAGCCTCGCCAGACAAATGTTTTATTAAAAAAAAAAAAGTTGTTTATATATCCAGAAAGAAGGTGTTCCACTTCCAACTCAGTTTATTCAACTTGGATTCGACCCTCTTTTACTCTATCACCTTGATTTCTTTTTTCTTGACTCTACCACCTTGATGTGTACTTCTTTTTGTTCATCTTGGTATAGTCATATATCCAATGACTCTGATTTCTTTCTATGAAATGTGAATTTCTTTTGTCCTTATATACTTTCTATCGGCTCTAAAATAATTAATGAAGTTGAAAAAGGGATAAAACAACAAAAAGAGTCGTACGATATTGTTTGTTCGCTCACGAGATTATCACTTATCAGAATCACTACTAGACGAGCACATGTCATCTTGTAACCCGTCTGCACAAAACGGCTAGACAAAGTGAGAAAGAAAAGATAAACTCCAAAGTAATTAAAATGATCATTTTTGCCTCTATGCGCTTTATGTGATCACAAGCCATAATATAATATAATTACAAAAGTGATGACAGTCAAATTAATTATTAATTAATGTAGTTATATCGTTTTCTAACAAGCAAGCATGCAAATACAAGTAGATCAACTTGTCTGAGAAACAATTAAAAAAAAATATATACTATACTAGAACCACTTGTAGTACTAGTATCAATTCAAGCCGTTCAAAACCTTTCAAT